TTTGAAAAATTAAATGCACTTATTGTTTCACTGTAGAACCCTGGCTGAATCATCTTGTATTTATATCATATAGCATAGTACAGCAGTGGCACATAGTCTTTCCACGTAGATCCAAACCCACATTTTATTGCTTATTAGCAGTGAGGCCTTGAACAAAATATATAAATGTTTTCACCTCATTTTCTTCATCTTTAAAATGTGTACAATAGGCACTTACCATATAAGGATGATATGAACATTAAATCATCACATCAAGTGTTTTTAAGCGTGACATAAAATGCAATAGTTTAGGTATTTTAATAGCAAATGCTTATCATACTATATATGTTAACCTGCAAATATTTCTCTGTCATGAATCTCTGGTTTGATTCTCTACTTTTATGATAGTTGTCATAGTAGATATTTAATAGATATTGTGGGGGGGTAGCATATGGAAAAGCGATAGTGAAGATGGGAAGGAAAATACTAGTTTCTATGGTGTTTATTTCTGACTCAAGACCTTATGTCATATTCGTCAGATATGGTCTATTTCACTTACTTTCTTTTCCATCCTTTCCACTTGATTCTAAAGCATACCACAGAATTGACAGTAAATAAATATTTATGAAATTTATACATTACACAATTTCATGTCTCCAGTTATAACCAATGTCTATTCTCCTCTACTGCTCTAACTGCAAGACATGACCTCATCAGAGTTTTCTGGTTATCATTCATTTAGTCACTGACATTGGCTCTGAAATGTCTAATGTGCCTCTTCCTAAAGACTTTATTTTAGTGTCCTTCCCACTCCATCCCTTACTCTCATTTTTTTCTGGGCATCTGTGCAATATCCAATATCTTATCACTTAGGTTAAGTAAGCTTCTGTTTACCAAATAGATTCTCTCACATTATTAAAAGTATAGCAGAGTCTGTGTTCTAAGGAAGTAACACACACATTTTCAGAATATCATTAAAAATAAAGTTAAATAAGTTTATTTTTCAGAAATATGGCTAGTTGGCTTGTCCTTCTCATCTTTCCCCAAGGAAATTAGCATTTGGATAGCTGTCAATAATTCCTTAAGGTATTGACCTCAAATTGCGTATTTTTCTACAGTTCATAAGATGTTCAGAAATTCTATTTACATCATTTAAATTTTTTATTCGGTTTTGATATAAGTGCTGATTTGTTTATGTTATGACAGACTAAATTACACAGTTTGGGGGAGTGTAGAAAAGCATTTTTTTTTGTCTTTTTGAGACAGGGTCTCCCTGTAGCCCCAACTGGCCTGGAACTCACTATGTAGACCAGGCTGGCCTTGAACTCACAGAGATCTGGCTGCCTCTGCCTCCCAAGTGATAGGATAAAAGGCATGCACCACCATATTTTATATGAATAACCCACTGTGTCTTAAAAACTACAAATAAATATTAAATAGAAATAAATCAATATGTAAATTAATATGCCACAAGGTTTTGAAAGATGGTTATTTAACTCTGATAAAACATTGCATTTATTTGTATATGCCAAACTTTCCATATAAAAATTTTCATACATATTGCAAGCAATTTCATTGTTTCTTTTCACTAACAGTTAATATAAATAGTTTTATAGTAGTTAGGAATGGGAAGAAACAATTATTGTATCTGAGTGTCAACCTTTGGAAAATATCAATTTTCAATAATGAAACAGTGATAATAAATAAAAGAAGAAAGAGTACATGAACAACAACAACAACAAAAGAAACAGAGGATCTTATTAGAATAGAAGTATTATCAAGATGTGTGAACCAATATTTTAGGACCAACCTCTCTTTTCCAACAGAATCTTTACAGAATTGTAGATAAGACAATTATTGTAGATAATTACTATTGTAGACTTATTGTAGATAAGTCCTAAGGCTGGAGAGATGGCTCAGCAGTTAAGAGCACTGACTACTCTTGCAGAGGACCTGGGTTTGATTTCTAGCACCCATATTGTGGCTATGAACCATCCTTAACTTCAGTTCCAGAGGAATCCAAAGCCCTCTTCTGACCTCTGTGGCATTGCACGACACAGGCACGCTCATATACATG